AAAAAAAAAAAAAAAAACGCTGTGCTCCTCTCTAATCGCACAAACTAATAATCGCCACGCCGCCGCCGCCGCCGCCACGAAAACCGTTGTTGACGCGAGACTGGTGATCCACTCGGAGCTTCTCTATCCAAGTAATGGTAAGAAATATTTGTATTCGTTTGTATCTTTCCTCCCTTGGTTGAAGATGAAAGTGCCGTTCTGCTTCTGCATTTGTATTTGAGCTTTGAACTAGCTTTTGTGTTTAGTTATTTCAAGAGAAGAACATTAACTTTATTTGTTCCTGTCAAGAAGTTTTTGGCAGAATTAAAGGGTCAAGTGAATTGTGTTGTAAGCTGAAATTAATCCTTCCAAGTATTTTTCACTTGTGCAATTTTCAACTTGTATGTTTGTTGTTGAATGTGCCTGAATGCTTGCATCAATAGCCTATAGTTGGGATGTCGTCCATTAAATTTGATTGATACTATAAGAATCAAAGATCAATTGATGACAACTTTTTGATAGCACTCATTTATTACACGAGTATGGTGTTTGTGTTTGTATAACATAGTTGTAAGTGATATTTTTGTTTGTTGGATAAATTTAATAGATTACGATATGTCAACTCAATGTGCAGCTTATTCGCCTTACACTTGGAGTGCGTAATTAGTTATATTCTGTTCGAGTTATATTCTGTTCAAACCGTGAATATATGACAAGAACTGTGCTTGAAGGACACTGAAAATACTAGATTTGGATTAAGGTATAACTGAATTTGAGCTCTTGAAAGTGATAGCTAATGCAAGCCTTGTTTGTTTTAGATGTCAGGAACCAAGACTGTGGTTGGGCTTTCATGGGAACCTAATTTGGCTGTGTTTTCTTCCACTGGAAAGGATAAGTGCCCTGAAACTGAAATCAGTGCTCTGTACAAACCCAATTCTGAGCTCGTCGATGGTCTTTTTCTTCCTCCCAATGACCCCAGAAAGTTAAACAAACTGATTAAGAAACAAGTCAAGGACACTGCTGGAAAAAATTGGTTCTTAAATTTTGTCCTTCTGAAGTTTTCATCTCATCATTGTTTTTTATGTTTTTACGAAGGGAATTGTTGACCTAGCGATGTGTATTTGGTGTTGTATTTTTTATAGGTTTGATATGCCTGCTCAAACCATGACACCGGAGTTAAAAAAAGATCTACAGCTTCTGAAGGTGCTGCTTTTTCCTTCCTTTTTTTCTTTTCCTTTTAAAGATTTGAAGGTACCGTTAATTGATTGATTTCTTGTGCAAGTTTCCATTTTCACATTTTATTGATTCATTATGTAAATGCAGTATTATTTAGCATTGTAAGGTAGCTCGAATAGTTGAATTTCAGATCATTGCTAGCATTAGGATCACTGCATGTAAAATTTACTCTGTGTATTTGTGTGAGAGAGAGAGAGAGTGAGTGTAAAAGCTGGCTCACATCTGGTGAATGCATCTTGGATTGAGCATAGGACAACACTGTCTGAGCATCTGAATGTATGATCTATAACTTGTAATTGGAATTATCATAATTTGGTGACAGTAAATTAAATTACTATTTATACTGTTATAAGTAGAGTGAGGCGGCAAGATGTACCTGAGTAGTGAGTTCGTGCCTCTCGTGTCTATTTTCATTGAATTGGAATAATAATATTTATCTACGCGTAATGTGAAGTTTTGATATTGGCAGTTGAGGGGTGCCCTAGATCCGAAGAGGCACTATAAGAAGGGTGATTCTAAATCCAAAACACTGCCCAAGTATTTCCAGGCAAGTCTCTATGTGATTTCAGCAGTAAAACTTTTTTAACTGAGTTCGGCTACTTTAGGAGTTGAATGCTGGAGACTCATTTGTTTATTTATCAGGTGGGCACTGTGATAGAGTCGGCAACGGAGTTCTTCTCTGGTAGACTTACTAAAAAGGAGAGAAAGCCAACCCTTGCTGATGAGCTGCTTGCTGATAGTACCCTTGGTGATTATAGGTGTGTTTACAATGCTTGTCCTTGTTTCATTGAAGAGTAATTATAAGACTGAATTCCTTCCCGGCCTAGTGTGGTATCAGAATGAGGAATTATTTTTAACCTTTTGTGAGAATTACAAAAATTGCTCCCAAAGTTAAACTACTTGCAGAAAAATACTAGCTGTCTCCAAAATTACAGAGGATACGCCTGAGTTTTAGTCTGCTGTCAACGTAAGGCTAACTGTAATGTAAGAATGCGAGAGGGGGTGAAATGTTATTTTATAGGAAGGGAGTCATCTTTGATCAAACAAAAAAAAAAAAAAAAAAAATCTCTTTATTTTTTGGGGTTCTGCACAAGGTTACTTTTTGTGATCAGGTGTAACTTTTTTTAATGTTTGTTAGCAATGTTAAAATACATGCAGCTAGTCATGGCATCATGCTCTTTTGGACCTCTGATTTTTATATTTAATTTTAAAGTTGTTTCCTTACACAACCTTTTATACAGAAAACGCAAGGTTCGAGAGATTGAAGAGGCAAACCGGCCTGCTGGGGTGGACAAGTGGAAGAGAAGCAAGTCAAAGAAGCATGCAAAGGGCAGGAAAAAGGTGTAAGCTGCTAAAATAGGTATACACTCAACTAACCATTTTCCGAGGTTGGATCTATACCCTTTTGTTTAGCATGAGGTTAAAAGAGGTTATGTTGATTTACTCTGTTATGAGTCTTTCTGGTGAATTGGAATTATACCCATCTGTTTTAGGATGAGAACATGACGTTCTTGTTGTAATCCTGTTATTCACTGTAAGCATTTTGTTATTGGTGTATTTATACAATGGATATGGGTGGACTAAAATATCAGGTGTTTCCTTTATTATCCCCGTATTTCTGGTCAAATCATACAAGATATATGTAAATTCTGCAGCTGATGATAGTGTTCCCATTTATGTCTGGATGGATTTGTTGCCATGAAAAACAGCACCACCACCACAAAAAGGATGCTAGCTACTACACCACTAAAAGACCTGCTAAATTTTGATTCTTTTGTTACAACATTAGTAAAACCGTTTGACAAAAACAACTGTGTTAAAGAATCAAGCATTTATCCTAAGATTCAACCTTCTCAACCATAGTGAGTGAAGCATCATATGGAACACATCATATCTCTTAGGTGGATCATTCACCAAGAAATGTCGTTGCACTTGCTTCACCCCATGATGCAAAGCCTCGTACTCATCTTCCCCTATCCCCATTAGGATCCTTTTCAAATTTGGCAGCTTGTCCACTGGAACCCTAACTGAAAACCGGTCCCAATCCAGCACGTCGCTAAAGGGCAAAACGTAGTTCTCGGATATAAGGACAGGCACGCACCCCGCATATATGGCCTCTGGAATTCTCGGGCTCGCCACCTCGTACCCACTTGGGCACAGGCAAAACTTGCTACTCTCCATCATCTCTTTGTACGAGTTACTATTGTTATTGCTAGGGCTCAGCGGCATCTTTTCGAACACCTTGATGTCGTCGTCTTTGTCTTTCCAGTGTTGGAGGAGCAATGATCTGATGCGGCCGTGCAGTTGGCCGGCGAAGAATGCTAGGGTCGTTCGGTTGGGTGATGTCGGCGATGTTAATCCGATTATTTCTCCGGCTGGAAGGTTGATCTCAGGTAACGATACGTCTTTTCTAGGGTTGAAAAACTCGGAGGTGTTGGCGTTGCATAGTACTCGGATTGAGGTGAAGTATAAGTGGTGCACGTACCAAGTCGCTCGAGGCCCCTGCAACCATATTAGTTATTTCAAGGGTTCTTGGACTAATAATTTCCAATCTATTTTAACCAATCACTTTTTTAACTCAGAATTTAATCAAATTTAACTTATCTAAATTATTCTCAATATTTAACTTATCTCAATTATTTTTCAATATTATCACTAATATCAATCAATCATTCTCATACATCACATCAACTTTAATTTACTACTCATCTAATTGTATAATTTTAGCAACTCAACACTTTCCTCTGATATCTCATACTTTTACATCAAATCAACTTTAATCATTTTATTCTAATAAAAAAAAAAAAAACTCATATCCAAGCAACCCCTTCATTGTTGTTTTATGCATGCATGTCATATGCTCACCCAATCATGGCACGAGAGCATGAAATGATCGGCCCCGAGGCTTCTATTCCAGTACGAGTACTTGGCGGACACCGTGCGAACATAATCGCCCACGACACGTTCGAGCACGGCCTTGTCGCGCTCGACCGGGTCAAACAGGTTCTGGAGGATCATGACCACACTAAATGGCAGGAAATAGAGATGGGCCTCGTCAGGATCATAGGTTCTGAATTTGCTGTTCGACTCAATGAACCCAAGAAGAATCCCTTCCGTCGAATATATGTCCTTTGAAGGGCCATTGTGAAACAAAGGTGGGTCGCCTTCTTCGTAGACATATATCTTGAACATGCTCTCCATTAACATATAACTCCTGAGGAAATTAATAAAACTTCTATTAATATGGAGTTGCAGTTGATAGTAAAACACAAATTAAGCAAGTGTTAATTTTACTTATATATACCTACCTTTGAAATACATAGGCATTCCTGTATATTTCTCCTCGGGGGATATAATCATGATCATCCTTGTCATCAAGTGCTATTTGTGAAGTGCGACTTTTAATAATCGCGTCTTTAATCAAGGCTCTCGCCCTTGCAAGACCTGCTTCAGTTTTGGCCATTTTTTTGTTCTCACCTCTTCTCATCGACTTTGATTTCTCATTGAGCTCATTCACCAGATTGGTCACTGCCTTTTGCATTTTTGGATTCTATGAAATAGTCTTTTCACGAATTATTATAAATTCATAAATAAATAAATGTTAAAGAACAATTAATATTAGAGTGATGAAAAGTATTTATACAGTGAATGTGGGGTAGAGGGCCAGGTTCGGGTTTGGCGGTGGTGGAGACGGGCGGGCGGAGGAGGAGAAGGCGCCGGAGAAGGAGAATGTTCGGGATGGAAAAGAGAAGAAATATAGATTTTTGGTGCCATTGGTTGTGATGAGAGCAAAAAAAGCAACAGCAGCAGCTAAAGATACAACAAAAACAAGAATAATTTGAATAATGTAATTGCATGGACTTAAAAATTTGCTGATTAATGCTCTAACTCTAAGCATTAATCCCTCCCTCATATTTAATGTAATTAATGGCTGCCTCTTAATTTTTCTCCTTTCACTCACTCACTCACTCACTATGTGTAGTGTAGTGTGTGTCATTTTCAGTTACAAATTAGTGAAATCCGAGGAAATGGAACCCTTCATTTATGGGTTTTGTTGGTTGACCCCTTTTTTTATTTTTTTTTTTTTATTTTTTTTTCAATGGTGGAGAAGAAAACTCACAAGCATTAATTATGTAGTTTCTTTTTTTAAGGTTAGAACATGTGATGTAAAAAAATAATAATAGTATGACCCTTGCTAGCTAGTAAAAATTTGGCAATCTCTAAATCTAGCAACTTGTAGAATTACCCTATACCTCAATAAGATCTAATTAAACAATCATTTTTTTTTTTCAATATTATTAACATCCAAGATAATTAATATGCCCAAATGACAAGATTTTTTTACGTAAAAAAAAAAAAAAAAAAGTTAAGTTCTGGACAAAAAAATTACAGAAAAAATGGGGAGTGGAACAAAATAAAAAGCACGTATTTTATAAATACGTTTTCTACACAATTTAATTGTAAAACGTATTTAGTGAATACGTTTTCTTTTGTAAAAAGAATTTATAAAACGTATTCACAAAATACGTTTTGTTTTTTGTCCATTTATTTTTTTTTATTTTTAATATATAAATTACCCGACAAGTAGTAATTATACGAGAGATCAATAAAATATATGGATAACAAGTTAAAGTACTTTTATTGAAAAATAATCATTAAAATTTTATCATTGCATGATCTACACACATGTTGTTGGGGTATCACAACAAGCGCAGCGGACAAAAATACCCCTCCAACAAATATGGCGAACACTACTCCAAAAGAAAATAAGCCAACACAAATAAATAAAAGACGGGAAAGAAAAGAACACAAAAATTGATAACGGAGTTCGGCGAAAATAGCCTACGTCTCCGGGCACCGCCAACCGCAACGCCAAATTTACTAAACTCACCAACAAAATACAACTAGGGTTAAATAACCCACAAAATAGGATTTCCTTAATTAAGGATTTCCTTCTAAATAGGAGAGAATAGAATAAGGTGCAATTGTAACCCAAAGGCAAGGGACCTATTTATACTAAAAAGATCCTACACATCTTTGGTACACATCCGATGTGGGACATAAAATTAATCAAAATCTAACAATTCTCCACCTTGACTAATTTTTGATCTCACTTCCAACTCAACTGCTAGCGGTGCCTCCAAATGCGCCTCTCGGCGCCAACTCAAATATGCAGAATGTTGGTCAAGTCTAAACAATGTTCAAATTTGACTGTTGTCACTGCCTTGGTCATCATATCTGCAGGATTCTCTTTCGTCTTGATCTTTTTCAACACAACAGTTCCATCTTCTAGAATTTCCCGCACAAAGTGATAGCGAACATCAATATGCTTCGTTCTGGCATGAAATATTTGATTTTTCGCTAAGTGAATAGCGCTCTGACTGTCACAATGCACTAAGACGTGCTTTTGACCAACTCCCAAGTCTTCAAGCAAACTTTGAAGCCAAATAGCCTCCTTCACAGCTTCAGTAACCGCCATATACTCCGCCTCTGTTGTAGACAAAGCAACTGTTGACTGTAAGGTAGACTTCCAACTGACTGGAGCTTTTGCAAAAGTGAACAAATATCCAGTCGTTGATCTTTGCTTATCCAAATCACCCGCGTAGTCAGAATCACAATATCCAACTACACACTGACCAACTTTATTCTGCTCATAAACCAATCCAACGTCTACAGTACTATGAATGTACCGTAAAATCCATTTCACAGCTTGCCAATGACCTTTCCCAGGGTCATGCATATACCTGCTAACAACACCAACTGCTTGTGAAATGTCGGGCCTTGTACACACCATCGCATACATC